GAGGCAGAGTTGGAGGCACCTAACCTGATGCTAAAATGCTACATAAAGGAGCTATGTAAAAAAGATCTGGCCTATGTCTTTGGACTCAGTGGGGGAGGGATGTAGTGATTGTAATGAGGTCAGCCAGGTAGACTTCATAGGTTATGAAGTCCCTGATTGGGGCTGTTATTCGGGAGCCCTGGCTGATAGATATAAACAGGAGTGTTAGAGGTTCTACTCACCCTGAGAGCTGGCTCTGAGGAAGCTGGATCAGTGGCAAGGACTCTCCACGTGTAAATAAAGGGTGACTTGGTGATGGGATACTGGCCTTTGTAGAGTTATTTCAGTCCTGATCACTTAACTTCTACAAGTTTCAAAGGCAGCTGTTGGGTGACGAATTTCTTATAAAATCAATTAAAGGGAAAATATGGTATCTAATTTCATACAATAAAAGTACTTTGTGTAAGAGAGGAAATTACTTACTTGTTAATAGTTTGATTGATGACTGAGGCTCCTGATCTTCTTCATGTCAAAATGGTCCATAATTAGTTAGCTATTTAAAGTCTTGCCTAAAATCAAAGAATGTATTCCTAATCAATTAAGCCTATTTATAAAAGAAATTTATCATGACAGTACTTTTTTCAGTGACAGATTTCGAACACTGCCTGAATTAGCATGAAACAAAGCCTAATAAGGTGGTCTCTGTTGCCATTTCTGGGGATAGCCCGGCCACCAGTATCCACTACAAATCCACTTACTCCCACAGTTACCTGGATTAAGTATCCTCACACCCTGCTTCCTGTAAAGACTCCATTCCATTTTAAGAGTTTCTCCATCTCCGTTGCATCTGTTCCAATGATGCCAGCTTCTGCAAGGGAACCTCCAAAGTGTTCACCTCTTCCTCAACCAAATATTCCCCACCTACCATCCACATCCAGAAGATCATCAGACGTCATTTCCGCCACCTCCAGCGAGATGCCACCACCAGATACATATTACCCTCCCCTCCATTTTCCATCTTCTGCAGGGACCGTTCCCTCTGGGACACCCTGATCCGTACTTCCTTCACCCCCAGCACCTCCCCACAGCCTTACGGCACCTTCCCCTGTAACCGGCGAAGCTGCAACACCTGTCCATTTACTTCCTCCCTACCCAGTATCCAAGGGCCCAAACTTGCCTTCCAGGTGAAGCAACACTTCACATACACTTCCCAGAATCTAGTCTACTGCATTCGCTGCTCACAATGTGGTCTCCTCTACACTGGGGAAACGAAGCGTAGACTTGGCGACCGCTTCGCAGAACATCTACGTTCTGCTCGCAAAACAGATCCTGAACTACCTGTTGCCTGCCACTTTAACGCACCACCCTGCTCCCTGGCCAACATCTCTGTCTCCGGCTTGCTACAGTGTTCCAGTGAAGCCCAATGCAAGCTGGAGGAACAACACCTCATTTTCCGCTTGGGGACCCTACAGCCCTCCGGACTCAATATTGAGTTCAATAATTTTAGGGCCTAAACTCTCCCATGTCCCAGCCCCCTACCCCTCACACCAGGCCTTGTTACCACATAAAAACTGCGGATGCTGCAAATCAGAATCAAAAACAAAGTTGCTGGAATAGCTCAGCAGGTCTGGCAGCATCTGTGAAGGAAAAAACAAGAGTTAAAGTTTCGGGTCCGGTGACCCTGCGTTCTGAGGAAGGGTCACCAGACCTGAAACGTTAACTCTGTTTTTTCCTTCACAGATGCTGCTAGACCTGCTGAGCTTTTCCAGCAACTTTGTTTTTATACCCCACCACCATGGTTGTCAAGGCCCTCAGCCATGTCCAACCCATCTCCTGCACTTCAGCTCTTACCCCTTCTCTTTCCTCCCACAACAATGAGAGGGTTCCCTGCTCCTCACTTACCAACCCTCCAGCATCTGCATCCAAAGGATCATTAACCACCGTTTCCAACTCCTCCAGCGAGATGCCACCACCAGACACACACATTTCTCCCTTGTCAGCATCCTGCAGGGACTTTCCCTCTGGGACACCTTGCTCCATTCCTCCTCCACTCCCAACATCTCCCCACACCCCCAAGGCACCCTCCCATGTAATCACAGTCAATATAATACCTGCCTGCTTACTTCTTCCCTCCAAGGCCACAGACACACCTTCCAGGGGAATCAGCGATTTTCCTGCACTTCACTCAATCTAGTCTGTTGTATTCGCTGCTGACAACGTGGTCTGTTGTATATCGGGGAGATGAAACATTGACTGGGTAACCAATTTACAGAACAGTTACGTTCTGTCTGCAGAAGTGACCCTAAGCTTCCTGTTGCCTGCCACTTCAACACACCATCATGTTTCCTGGCCAACATCTATGTCTCAGGCTTGCCAGAGTGCTCCAGCGGAAGCTGGAAGAACAGCATCTCATTTTCTATTTTCCATTTCATTTCCTGCAGCCGTCAGGACTCAGTATTGAGTTCAACAATGTTAGGGCCTTCCCACCTTCTCCCATGTCCTTACTCCAACCCTACACACCTGATCTTGTCATTACCTCGGTTGCTACCACAACCAACCCATTGTCAGCCACTAATGGTTCCCATTAGCAGCTATTCATTCTCCCAGCTTGACCTTTACCTCTACCTTTATCTACCCAACTCTAGTTCTCTCTTTGTCTCTCTCTGGTCTCCAACTCCACCTATCGTTTATTCTTCCACCCCTCCCCCTTCAGTATATATACCCACCTTTTCCTTACTAAAGTCAGTTCTGAAGAAGGGTCACTGGACCCGAAATGTTAACTCTATTTTCTCTCCACAGATGTTGCCAGACCTGAGTTTTTCCAACAATTTCTGTTTGCGTTTTGGAACTTAGTGGGTGTCTGTAACAGTATTGAAAGATGAAAGCAGTCTCCAAACATTTGGGTTTTTTTTATAGTAAGACACTGAAATAGAATGGAACACCATTTATTGTAATCTGAAGTTTAATTTCATACTGGCATGATCTGTATTGCTGAGGTCTATCATAGGCCAAACTTGGGAGTTGTACATGTTTAACATGATCTTTTCTGTCAACACAAGTTATATTGAGGTTTGAGTAAACTGCCTCCCGGATGTCACTCCATCCTCAGTTTTTGTTTATATTGCTGCTTTATTTATTCTCTTGAGTCATACTATTCTAAATCTGCCAGGAAGTGTCAGAAAATACACTTAAAAATCAGTTCCAAGTCTACATGAATAATTGAAAATTTACCAGCAACTTAAGGGAGAAAAAATTGAATAATTTCGTGTCATAGCTTCAATGTTGGTGAGGGTGGTTAATGTTTGAGTAAGTAAAAAATCTTCAGAATGAGTTGTCTGTAGCCTGATGTCGCAGCACAGATTGGTAGGGAAGGATTCAATGTGGGGTATCTGATTTACACATGCCTACGGATTGATCACTGCTTTGTTTAGATGCCAGTTTTTTGGACTTGGGATGAAACAATTATAACAATTTATTTACGGAAAGTTTCTACATGTCCACTAGCAAGAATGAATCATTTTCCAGATTTGCTGAGACAAACAAGATATCTTCCTCCCACTTTGTAAGATGCCTTTATCTTTCCACTTCTCATCCTTTGCTGAGCATTTTTGCTGCTTTTAAATTTTTGTTGCTATGGTGTAATCCTTTCTTGCCTACCTGAATGTCTCCTTCTGTTAAAGGAGCACATTATGCTTTGTTTATGTCATGGAGTTGCTTCTGTAGTGTGCTAAACTGCTGGAACATTGTATTTTGCCCTGTTTACATTGAGGAATGAGATTTCAGAGCACTCGTGGCATATGGTTTTTTTTCTTAGATGCTGTAATCACAGACTTAAAGTAGCTTAGACTTGTGCAGTTGTGATTTTAGTTTTTTTTTGAGGGACTGTACTCTTGTGATGTTGGAGAAGTAAAATCAACATAGTCTTAGTAGATCATGGAGCTTCTGTCTCATTAGAGAGAGATGACTGATGGTGGTTTAACCTGAGGGGCGCACACCTCAGGTGAGGGGAGAGGTTGAGAAGGAGAGTCCTTTGTGCTAACCTCGGCTGGTGTGGGAACTGAACTCACACTGTTAGCATCTCTCTGCATCACAACACAGTCATCCATCCAACTGAACTGACCAATTCCTGCTATGTAAGAGAAAGATCTTGGCAGTTACTAAGGTGTGTAAAGGCACCTGAGAAATATAGGCCTCCAGGTCCGTTTCCATCTTGACAGCCTGTGATAGTTTCCTGTTGTCATTTATCATCTGCTTCTGTAGCAAGTGGTAATACCTCATCAGAATTGATTTGCCTTATGTTGGAAGACACATTTATATTACAACCACCATCAGTCAAGTGCTAGCAGCAGAACTCCTACATAATATAACAATAGTCCTGTCAGGGACACGTGCTTAGGTTAGGGTTAAAAATATCTTTTTAAAGTGGGAAACTAATTTAAGTTAGGTCAAACGTGGACATGTGTGTATAGCATTACAGCAGTTAATGTTACTGGACCGGGTAATCAAGAGGCCTGGGCAAATATTCTGAGACAAAGTTCAAATCCCACTAAGACAGCTGGAGAATTTAAATTAAATTAATTAAATAAAGTCTGGGATAAAAATTTAGTAACAGTAATGTTGATCATAATGCTACTGGATTATCATAAAAATCTAATTGATTCATTAATATCCTTGAGGTAAGGAAGTCTGCTTTCTTGGCCTGGTTTGTTGTATATGTGACTGTGGACCCACAGCAATGTACCTGACTTTTAATTGCTCACAGAAATAAGCTGGCATGCTATTCAATTGCATTCAAGAAGGTGACTAATCATCATTGCCTCAAGGGCAGTTAGGATTGGGTAATAATAGTTGTGAATTAATTAATAATATGTTAATTGTGCCAACCAGATAACTTCATTTTTAGCTTTTGAATATTTTTCTTGTGAATTGAAGATGTATTAATCCAGCTGGGTATGTAAAATCAATGCACCAGATACCTGTTGAGAATGGCCCTGTAATTTATTATCTGTTCTCCTTTTCAGTGGACGGTGCTTGGTCCTGTTGGTCTCCGTGGTCAAAATGCTCTGTCACCTGTGGGGGTGGACATTACATGAGAACACGCTCCTGCAACAATCCTCCACCTGCATATGGGGGAGACATCTGTCTGGGTCTTCATACTGAAGAAGCATTGTGTAACACACAAGCCTGTCCAGGTATGGAGGACAGAATTTGGACTTTAGCAGAAATAAAAGCATACATTAAGCACTCAGTTTAGAACTAAAATTCCCTTGAAAAGTTATTGCGTTTATTTGCTTTTAATTAATTTGCAAAAAAAAAGTGTTCCTAGCAAATTTCTGATAATGCCTACCTGAGACTCCATTAGATAAATGTGGAAAGTTTTGTTTATAGCTTGCTTATTTTCTCCTGTAGCAAGGAAGAATACTAAATTATATTCTTGTTAAGTGTTAATTTTCAATACCAGTGGAAAACGAAACAATAGTTTTCTTTAATCTGCTTGCTTGTCAGCTAAAACTAACTGGACTTCATAATTCTCTATTACTGTTGATATGTCATCGGTTTTAAAACCACAGTGACAGACCATTAAGTACATTATAGCACAAGCTGTAACTAAGTAGTAAGAATAATATTGAATTATAATGACTAGAAAATTTAGTTGCAGTAGCCTGATGGCTCTCAAATTGACCAGAATATAAATGGGACATTAATTGGCACTACTTAAATTAATTTCAGTTAGGACGCAAGCAACTAAGAAAGAGAGTGGAAGCCTGTAGCTGGTCAATTTGACTGAAGTAATCAGATCAGGGTAGTGAATTCACAGCTAGAGGCGTGTTTGAACAGAGTGCTGAGAGTTGGGTGACTATGGGGTTTCTTAGCTCTTTTGAAAAATCTAATTTTGTTTGTGTTTCACATTTAATATTTAACTGTAATTGCATGTTTAAATTCTAAATGGAATCTGAGTTAAGCAGGCGTATGCAAGTTCTTAACCTGAGAAAATGAAAGAAACCAGCTTAAACTGTTTTCTCTGTACCTGGTACTGAACTAATGTTTTATTTTTGATGGGAATAAATGGAGGCATCTCAGTGCAACGTAGCACTGAGTGTGACTTTGAGTAAAGTGCTGAGAATTTTGTGAGTAAGGAAGTTAGGGGAAGGAGGTGTTCTTTTCTTTTTCTAACCTTTTCTTCCTGTAGGACTTGGTTCTTATTCTACTACAGTGGAAGAAGCTAGCTGGTTGGTCAGTATATAGTTAAGGTCTATTCTATTGCTACGGTTTAAAATACTGCAGGAACTGGTAGTAATATGAACAAACTATAGAAAAAGTAAAATAATTGATTGAATGAAATAACTATTTAGTTAATCAGAATATAATAAAAATTAAAAAACAAGTGATGTGTCACTGTTGTAACACGTGGGACCTCCTGGAAGGCAGTGTGATCAAGGGTAAACGCATTTGCAGTATCTGCAGCTCGATCAGCTTTGGCTCAGATTTTATGAGCTGGAGGCTGAACTACCATCACTGCGGTAGATCAGGGAAGGGAGGAGAGTTATCTGAACACTTTATTCCAGGAACTGGTCACATCCCTAAGGACAGGATATGGTTAAGTGAGTGGACAAAGATGTGGCAAGTAGATATAATGTGGGAAAATGTGAAATAATCCATTTTTGGCAGAAAGAATAAAAATGAAGCATATTATCTCTATATAATTTATTGTATTATGTGTTTCATAGTGCAGGCCCAACATACTCAACTTCTCATAAGATAGTGTCTCCATCCCTACTATCAGCCGAGTGAACCTGCTCTGGACTCCAATGCCAGTATATTTTTCCTTAGATAACAGGCCCAAAACTGTTCACAGTATTCTGGCTGTGGCCTGACTAGTGCTTTGTTTAGTTTGAAGAAAACCTCCCTAATTTAGTTCTCCCTTCCCTTTGAAATAAAAGCCAACATTCCATTTGCCTTTGTATCAACCGCTGAACTTGGATGCTAGATTCATGCATGAGGAATCCCAAATCCCTCCGTGGTGTAGCTTTCTGCAGTCTTTTTCCACTTAAGTCATATTCAGCTCCTATTCTTCCTTCTGAAGTGCATAACCTCACATTTTCCCACATTATATTTAATCTGACAAGCTTTTGCCTACTCACTTAACCTGTATCTCTGCAAATTCTTTGTGTCAACCTCCCAACTTTCCTTCCCAGCTGTTTTTATGTCATCTGCAGACTTGGCTATAGCACATTCACTTTTCTCACCCAAGTCATTAATATATATTGTAAATAATTCTAGGACCAGCACTGACCTCTGTGGAATTTCACTTGTTACAGGTCACCATCCTGAAAATGCAACCCCTTATCCTAACTCCCTGCCTTCTCTTCATTAGTCAATTCTGTATCCAAGCTAATATACCACTTCCAACACCCATGGGCTGTTATTAAATAGCCGAATGTGTGGTACCTTATCAATCCATTCAGAAAATCCAAATGTAATACATCCACTGCATCCCTTTATCCAGCTTGTTGCCACCTCAAAGAATTCTAATAAATCTGTCAGGCAAGATTTCCCCTTCATGAAACCGTGCTGACCATGCTTAATCATGTCCTGTGATCTTTAAAGGGACCATCTTTTACAGTATTACAGTTTGGAATTCTTTTCCTCAAAAAAGCAGATTCAAAAAAGTGGAAGCCCAGTCTTTGAATATGTTTTAAGGCAGAAGCAAGTAGATTCTTGATAAGTGGGTGAAACAGTAAGTTTCTGAAGAAATGTCACTGGAATTGACACAATGATTTTGTTTGTCTCAGCACTGATGCATCCATATCTGTGATTTTCTTCAGCAATTTCTGCATTTGACTGAAACATTAAGGTGGATAGGCAGGTACATGGAATTATCAGATCAACCATGATCTTAGTGAATGGCAGGGCAGGCTTGCACTGCTATTTGGCTTATTATTGCTCCTAATTCATACAGTCATCTGTATTATTTCAATTCCTGGTCTTCCTTGTGAATGCATACCCCTAACCATAACCCTATCTCAGTCTTTCCTACTTTGTTCAATCATAAAAAGGCAGGATACCTGAAGACGCTTGAAGGCAAAGGTTCCACAACTTGAATAATCAAATTATGATTAATTATTGTATGTTTGAAGACGGCGTGTTCATCCTGAGAAAATGCTTACAATTTTTATTTTCTAACACAGATAATTGGTCAGAGTGGTCCAGGTGGTCAGAATGTGAGGTATCGGGTTCACAACATCGCACTCGTCACTGTAAAATCTTATTTCCTGTTGGTTACCAGTGCTCTGAGAATAGCAGTGAGAGCCGAACCTGTGTCTTTGACACCAATTTCATTCCTGGTATGTATTCTTACTGGATAGAACTGATTAGGGTTTACTGCAGACATAGCTCATAAATAATTATCTGATGCCTTCTCTGTTAATGTTGAATGATGGTACCTTTCTGAACTATCTGAAATTTGAGAGGCAAAATTCAACTTTGGCAAGTATACAAAACAGACCATTACATTGAAGTCTGTTTACAACTGAATATGCAACCAGCAAATATTCTGATGACTTAAATTTTCAGAACGCAATTTATTACCATTCACACTCAAATGCCTGAAATGAAATCCTAAACATCTGGGAAAGTTTTTTTCAGAAATTTGGTCTGCAAAGCTGAACTTTCCCTGGTTGTACACTTCTCATACGAGATTGAAAATTCAAGACTTAGTCTTTGCGCTAAAATTCCCATTACATTTGCTCCTCTTTACATTTTCTAGTAGTAGGTATGTAATGGCACTCCTCTTGTTTCTTAGGTCTAACTATACAGGTTTTGTCTTGACCCTTTGCTGGTATAGGCTGATAGTTTTGTGATCATTAGTTCAGGCCTTTGAATTACTCCTTCAGTAATATACAAAGCTACAAAGAGATACAATCAATAGTGTTTGCCTGTTGGAAATTTCCTACTCTTCAAATTACACTGCTAAATCCAATTGGCCTGTTAGTCTGAACCTTCAGTCAACATATTAGTTTTACGAATGATATCACCTCCAACAATGCAGCCCTCCCAAAGTTCAGCACCAGATTGTTAGGTGACATTACAGAGGTATTTTTCTGATTCTGTGTTTATAACTTGAAGCTTGTATTAGGTATTTACACTCAAACTTCAAATGATTTTGACCAAATGGTTGGAAAAATTATGCGCAAATCAGTCTAAAAATTTGTGCGAACATATCAGATCAGAATACTAAATTATCTCAGTTTGCAGGTCGTATGAAATTATCTCTGATGTGTGCTGATCTCAGGCAGGATGATTTGAATCAGAAATCATAGTCAAGTTTATACAGTTCATTTCGGCACGGTAGTGGTAAAATATCAATTTTAAACTTCATCGTCAGAGTGGATTATCTGAGACTTCAATGGACTGAAAAGGATTTCAACAAATGAAAAAATACTGACTTCAAATGATCACAACATCAACAAGCTCATGAAACCAATATGAGATAAACAAAGACAGTCTGAATGAAAACTAACATTTTATCACAGGCACTGAAACTCAGTCAGGCATGAAGAAATTCTCAGCTTCTAATTTTGATTTATTTCTTTTTGGAAATTCTGGGTATGGGGTGGATCAAGTGAATCAAGCATCTGCTGGGGAACATGTCAAGAACATTGATCACAGTATCATAAAAAAGAGGAGATGGTTCAGGTGCAGTCAAGGTATATTCACAATAGGAAAAAACATAAGGAAACAAAACCGGAATTAGCATTGTGACTAAGGTGAAGCATAAAAACAGTGTATAATGAGTGCTTAATGTGAGGGTATAGTACAAGTGAGAACCAGACTTGAATGGAGAAAGTTCAGAGTGAAAGTTAGGAAAAAGAGGGCTAAAGAGAGAGTATATGAAGAGAGCTAACTTACCATTTCAGGTAGGTGATAACCCATAAACTCTGGTCAGGTCAGCATTGACCTGAAATGATAACTCTGATTTGCTCCACGGATACTGCCTGTCCTGAGAAATATTTCTAGCATGAACTGTTTTTATTTCTTCGATACCTGAAGGTATCACAGAGACATGTTGAACTGTTCATTGAGCAGGTCCACCATCATCTTCTCAAGACAACTAGGGATGGGCATAAAAGGCTAGCGACACAAATATCCTGAGAATGAATTACCCTAAAACACTTTTTCAATGAATTAGATTTCGTGGTTAATACTCTTGGTGGCGTTTACTCCACCCTGAAAACAAGTTTTTAAAAATGAAAGTTTCTTCTGATAAAATTTGGCATTTAGCACTGGAACACAGCAAAGCCTTATCCTAACACCCACCCATCTTTTGCTACTGTGGTGCTGAATTCTCGATTGTAGCCATGATGCTGTGGAGAGAAGGTGAGAAATAGCTGGGTGTCACTCCACACATGGACAAGAAATTTAGAGTCTCTACTGGACCACTCTTTGTGGTTGATTTAAGAGCTTATTTGTGTTGTATACTACAAACAGAAGTATTCTGTGGTATTCACTATTACACATTTTGTTGTGTGGGTATTTTTGCTGCAGACAGACAAAGGCTCGGTGTACAAAAATCAGGATTCGAGGATATAAAGTTTCAGGTAGTTCTTCTTTAGCCACATGGAAACCTAGGAATTTTTTAAATAAAATATTTCATTTAAACTAGTGGATGACATTTAGTTTGAAATCTAGAGGACAAAGTAAAGGAAGAATGAAGGAATAAGAAAAATACACTGGTGCAGCTATGTTGAAAGAGGAAACATCATCCGGCAGCTAATCACTTATTCCATTGGCTACATACAATAATTGCATCTCCAGTTAAACCTGGCAAGCTACCCACACAAATTCAAATGAGACCGCTAGCAGATATCTCTGTTTATGTAGGAGCAAATTACTGCCGATGCTGAAATCTGTACTGAAAACAAAAATGCTGGAAATCACAGTGGGTCAGGCAGCATCCATGGAGAGACAGGAAACTAACGTTTCGAATCTAGATGACTTTTCATTAGACCACCTAACCCAATGAAGGAGCAGCGCTCCAAAAGCTTGTGATTTCAAATAAACCTGTTGGACTATAACCTGGTGTCGTGTACTTCTGACCTCGTCTTACATAGTCATGGAACACTCATTCTGCAAGGAAGGATACGCATTATTAGTTATACTTGTTTATCTGGTGCAACTCTTTAAAAAAAAAAACAGTATCAGTAAATACGCATTAAAGAATGAAAATCATTAAATAAAGTTTACTCAGTTTTGGGTTCCTAATCTAATTTTATCGTCTTAGCAGCTTTACCTCTGATTTGCTCCCTTCACAAATGTGTTCATTTCTTGTTGGGATATGATATTGCATTCACAAAAGTCATCCAAATGACTACTGTGGATGTGTGTACCTTCTCAGTTAGCACTGCCAGACTGTGCAATTGAGCAGCCTACCACAGCCAAGCCCACATTTGTCCTCTCCTAATGTCGTCATATTATAGACCTCAAGATGTAAAAGATCCCATTGCAGTGTGGTGAACATGACCACCCTGGAATCTGCATGGTTTAAGCAAGAAAATATTTTATGTGAGCATATGCAAGGAAAAAGCTTCTTTGCTACCCAAGAATGTCTCAAATATATAGGGTTTTCAACACCACATTCACAAGTCTGAACCCCATGTTGCCTCACTATTATCTCAAACTCCAGCTTTGAATCTGCTAGTTTCCATGGTAACTCAACTGCCTTGTCTGGCTTTCAGTTCCTCTTACCTCCTTGCTCTGTGTAGCAGTGAATAATTGTTACAACTAAAATCAAGCATAACTATAACTAAGACTATCATGCATATAAATCTTAAATGTATTAATATTAACCTCTTCATTCCTACGTCAGCAGTATTCAAACAAGATTTTTTTTTGAAAGTTTGTATTGGCCAATAGTTATGCCATAACCAACATCAGTAAAAATACAATTGTGTTGTTATTATGTCATTGATGTGTTATGGACCAGACCAGACACTCTCAAAATACTTTAAGAAGGTAGTCTAGACCCAAACTTTTCTGATGTTAAAGACAAATGTGATGTGCCGTGTTCCAGATGCAATGTAACAGGTCAAAATACTCGATGTTAAGCAAAACATCATTTATTTAAACACTACAGTTAGAATTTGACTGAAGAAAGAGGAATTTAGGATAACTTTAACTCTACTGCAAAACTTAACCAAAGAATAGATACAGTAACTAGTTAACTGTTCCAATATAGTTTAAGTTTAAGTTTACCAGTCAATGGCTCAATTAAATAAACTCACTGGGGTGTCAAGAGAGTTTCTTGACAATATTTCAAAACATTTTCTTTACTGAAATTTTCAGTAAGCATTTTAATTAATATAAACTTCTTTTTAAAAAAATTATTCCCTTAGAAGTGAATATTGCCAAGTCCACCTCGGGTGACAGAAGATGTGGTGGTAAGTGTTGATTCCTTAATTCTGCTTTTGATGAAGATTCTTGACTAAGTTCACACTTACTAAATGAGTATTTATTTTCTTGTTTCTAAAATTCTTTGCAGAATTCAACACTTTCCATATGATTGCAGTGGGATTGAGCTGCTCTATCTTAGGCTGTCTTTTAACATTACTTGTGTATACCTATTGCCAGCGATATCAACGGCAGTCCCATGATGCCACTGTCATCCATCCAATTTCTGCAGTTCCCCTCAACACGAGCATCACAAACCATGTCAATAAACTTGATAAATATGATTCGGTGGAAGCAATTAAGGTGAGACATTATAACTTTAAAGCATAAATTGAATTTTTTACTGCCTTCCTGTATGTAATATATTGCCACGTAACTAACCAAATATAATTAAACTTTAGAGTCTGTGAAACTTAACTGTTAATATCAACATTTTTCTATTAACATGAAATTAAAAAAGAACGTAATAATATTAGAATGACTGGAGTATGTAGATTTGTCAGAAATTCTTAAGCTTGAAAACCACTATGAACAAAATGGTAAAGTTCTTGTTTTTCTCCTAATTAACAAGCCATACATTGTAACCAGAGGAACTGTGTGACAAAAGCCACATTCTTTTAACATTGCTAGTAGATTGGCAGCTATGAGGCCGAACAGGCATTTTTTTTTAACTAAAATACAAATTTCGTCCTGATAAGAAAAATCATTTGATTGAAAATGTTTTGCAAAACCTAACGGCAGTACTGAAAACTCCAATAACTTCTCTTGCAGGGAGCTTCGTTCAACATATGCGTAAGTTAGTTCTTTATAGTACCATGGCAGTAATTTTTAGCTTCACTCCCTGGATAGTAATGTGGCAGAATCAATCAGCTTACTGTTACCTTCCACTTATGTTTACATTCCATAGAAATGAATGTCATGAAAATCAGACAAGTTCTAGAATGACGAGTAATCTCCCTACTCTGCCATATTATCTCTCAGGCAGTGAAATTGAAAATTCCTCTTCCTGTAATTATTAGAGAAATGAAGGGAAGGATTTATAGAAACGTAAAGAGTTGTCAATCTGTATTACTAGATTACCATTCAAAGTTTTGACTGGAAGATGCATTAATCAGTTGGTGATGATGAAGAGACGCAGGGATTATGCAGGAGACAAGGTTGAATCGTAAACAAGGGGATTTTTGAAAGACTCTACAGTCTAGTATGTGTAAGATCAGCTCTGTGTTAGCAATAGGTTTGTAGGATCATCTTAGCCATTAACAGATAGTTAGGGTTAGCCCAGAAATTTCATGTGCCTTTATACCTTGAGCAAATCCAGTTGCCTTCCAGATCTGCTTCAGCACCAAGATTGAAAAATGAATTTCTGGTCATGAACAGTGCAATCATTTCAAGAGTTAAAGAAGAAACTCCAGAAAGTTTGAGATAGTAAATGATATAATATTTATAGATGTATTAATAAGTAATATCTTTATTTTCCAGGCTTTCAACAAAAACAATTTGATCCTTGAGGAACGAAATAAATACTTTAATCCACATCTTCATGCAAAATCTTTTTCCAATACCTATTTCACAGACTTCAATATGTATGATGACTATTAGATTGGTAAATTGCTCAACGCAGACTTGCCTACTGATTAAAGATCCCTCTTTTCAGTCTGGATTGGAGATGAGGCTGCACTAATACCTACAAACTTTTGTCCCTGCCTTTTGCCTGTCTAAAACATAAACACCAATGACAACGCTTGAAAGGATCAAACACAGAAATGAATTCCAGCTAAGTTGGAATTTAGTTGCTCTGTTCTGCTGTGCTAGAACTAAGGACTGTACCTTCTATCAAAGAAGTTTATCTTGCAGTGACTAAAGAAACACAAACAGTGCCTGTGGACAGAAGATCCTCATTTGCTGAATTTTGTGCGTTTGTGTTTTCACCAGTCCTATTCAATTATATAATAAAGCAATGAGAACATTAAAAGTCAGCTCAGATGTATGCAGTGCAGGGCTGGGAAGCATTCCCTAACAAATGGAGTTTCTGAGCTGTCCCAATGAGACTGTTGCATTTTCTGTCGTATGTGGTCAGGAATGTTCAGCTGTATTGACTGTCTGTCACTTCATGCCATTCCAAAGACCCTGCCAATTGCAACTTGTAGAGCAGCATCTGTTCTTTTACATTATTTTTAAGATAGTTAGAAGGTAGACCTTAAGCGCATCTGTGTTCTTGTCTTTTTTCCAGGTAATCTCCATTGTCTGTCGTGTACTTATTGACCAGTTTAAATTCACTGTTTGAGAACTCAGACAATCATGAAATATTTTCAGTGTGAGATTTACAAAACAGTAAATAACTGACTGCACATATGAATAGTACAAATGATTAACTAGGTATGTTTAGCTCGTTAGCGAAGTCAATGCCCACTGTCAACAGCATTAATAATGGCAATTTTTTTAAAAATAGTGGCTTTTGTACAGAGCCCATTAGCTGTGAATATTTGCAGCTTTTGCAGAATCTAAGCTATTAATTTATCCTGTTCTTGCTTTGTGTGTTGAGTTTCTTTGTTAATTACAGATTTAAATGGTTTCTCACAACTCAAGTCTTCTGCATGTGATATATTACAATAGTTAGAAAGTTATTTTCTGCCTGATGTTTGAGATTTATAAAGCTGCTGTCAGCTATGTACAGTTATTTTGCCAAATTTCTAGCTAGAGCGGGTTGCAAGATTCAATTCCTTTAACAAATGAATTACCTGATTTTGAAAACCATGAGATATCAATTGGCATTCATCATCCACTATCTAGGATATTTGACCATTTGTGAATGTCTAGTTTCTTCTATTAACACTGCTTCAAGTATTCACATTGGAGTCTCACAGATTAGTGCAATCTGTAATCTGTTTATTTTAACTGGGTTAATAAATGTTTTAAATATTTCATATCGATATTTTATATGAAAGTGTTAGGCAGCATGCTGCCAGATATCAAACTCTAAGCTATTTGTCATAATTTGAAAAGATAAATGTCAGCAAAGTCAGAACAGCAATTGAAACAGGCTGTGTTTATTTTTCCCCCTGTAACAGCATATAATTTATGGCATTTTCCTCCCTAAAAGTCTGCAATGCAAAATGGGCTAAAATAGGCAATTTTATTACAAGTTCAGACAGTAGCATTTCCTGCCTAACTTCAGCACCAATCCGCTAATAAAATCACATTGTAAAATAAAGAAAAGTCACACTCTAGAATACTAATCTATCTCTAACCAATCTTTATCTTTTCTGTATTTCGATTGAGCAACATCTGAAATTCCAAAATTTATGGTTTTATTTTTTGTCAGTCCTTGAATACTTGAAAGTGTAACTGATAGACGTGTATTTGAAAAAAAAGTGATGTGCATTATTTGTACCTTACTGCTGCACCAAATGCAGTCTCAGTGAACTATTTGGCATGGTTTATGCAGTGTTGTCGTTAAATGGTTTTTAACATTGAAGTAAATGTTTGGAAGTAGCATGTTCACCATGCAGTGGGAGCTATATTTGAAGTGGCCTCAGAGATTAGTCCTGTACATTTTTTTAAAAGAAAGAAAACTGTGCAGGGAGTGATGACCTCCACACTTTATTTCCCAATGTACACCTCAATTCTCATTAAATTTTGTTATTAGCACCAACTTGTAAAATGTATCCATATGACCTGAGAAACAATAAGTGGACCATCCACCGCTGTAGGCAATGCAGAAGAACACAACTAATCTGCAAATAGCCTTTCAGAAAAAACAAAGCAGCATGTTATATGAGATAACAAGAAATTCAGAAATTTCTGGAGAAGGGTCCAGACCCAAAACGTCAGCTTTCCTGCTCCTCTGATACTGCTTGGCCTGCTGTGTTCATCCAGCTCTACACCTTGTTATCTCAGATTCTCCAGCATCGGCAGTTCCTACTATCTCTGAAGCAGCATGTTATGTTTTGTCCAAGATTTGTGAGTTTCAGGGTGATTCGGGATGAGAGTAAGGGTATTCTGGGGGAGGTGAAATTTAGGTCAGATGCTAAAAAAAAAAATCCTTTACTACAGAAAGTAGTCAGCAGATAGTATATGGTTTTAGTAATATGATTGAGACAATGCAAATGGTTGAAAGGCCTTCTTTGTCTGAACCAATCTGTGATGTTGGCATCCTTCAAAGTCCTACATTTGTCAGGTTCATTACAGCATCATTCGTTACAAGTGAATGAGGCATTAGCCAGTAATGAATATTTCTAAACTAAAAGAGGACATTCAAACCTTTATCAATGTCAAAGAAAACAATATCTCACTGTAGCGTGTTCTGATGCAAAAGGAAAATTCTAGTTTTGATATTTTAGTGAGACCTACTTCACACTTTTCAGAATTCTTAAGAGAAATATTGGCAACAGTTGGGGGTTAAATTTATTAATAGAAGATGAAAGAATATCTGCTTCAATCTTATTTAACATCTGCCTGCTAAAAACATTCCTAGAAATGAAATTTTAGAGTCGTGTAATTCTACAGTTTCATTCATGTTATTAAGTAAGGAGTTGTTTATTTTTTACTGAAATAAACAGGAATTTAATTCCCATTAATATGACTAAGAACTTCTAGATGCTAATTTCTTCACAATTTTAGTTGTATGAAATAGCTTCAGGATGATTTTACATGAATAACTGTTACAAAAGGCTGAAGATTGTACAGAATGATGCAATATAAAGTAACGATATTATGGATGAAAGTCAGGAGAACGTGATTAATTGACTGAGCAAGTGTTATTTTTAAAAGTTTTTTAAAATATTCTTTTAATTGTTGATTTAATATTTTAAATTCTGGTAGTTTCCTGTCACGAATTTGATTTTTATCTTAGCTTTTACCCATCATTAAATATTATCATTAAGTTAACTATTGTTAAGTGATTAAGCTCCAGAGGTGCTATGGTCTGTATGTAAATGAAGAAAACCCCCGTAGATAATCCCAAATATTATGTTTATTGAGAGTATTTTTGGAGAATCCTTGCTGAGGCAAATAATCATCTGAAGAGTTGAAGCTTATGGAAGCCATTGGTAAGGGTTAGACAAAGGCATTTCTACTTGCAATGCCACATGTACAAATGTACCTAATTATTTGAATCTATGGATGTTGGATGATGTCCTGCCAAATCTGAAGGTGTTGCCAATTATTATTGTTGGCTGTATGTATTGGCTACTTTTCAAGCAACTCCTTAATCTGGCTTTAATTAAGGCTACAATCAGGTTAAATTAATTATCATATTAATTCCATCAAATGTTATAGCTCTAATTGTCTGAATATATTAAGCAGTAATTTCAGCTTTTCTCATGTTCCAACTGAACAACAGATTTACAATTGCTTTCTAATATAACACATTTTTCTTGGTTGGAACCTTTTTGCTGTGGATATTGAATTATTCACAAACAAAATGTGCTACATCAGTTGCCCTGTGCTCAGGTTATATTAGAACTTTAAGTGGGAAATAGCATGTTACTTAGTGGACTAAGTCTTAGCTTTCAGCATTGCACGTTAAACTGGTAGGAGGAAATTGATGTCAGTAGAAGGTGAAATTGGACAGGGGTGTACATTAAGCCACCACTTTGTGACTGACACTGGAAGTTTTGCTTTTATTAGTGACAGCATTACTCTTAAGATATATTGGAGAAAAACCTAACCAGTTTACAGTTTGTATGGACCTAATGAGCATATCAAAAATAACACTTTTGGTGCCTTTGTTCAGAATGACTGATTTGAAATCACAGCGACTACTAGCAGTCCCACTATAAAATTCTAAATAACTTTCCATAGCATCAAAAGAATGCTCATGTTAAGTTGAGAACATATTTTCAAAAGGAAAAATTACCAGAATCCATAGCTTTTGTTCCAAAAGTTATAGTTTTCAATTTCAAGCAACCTGTTTCTCAAATGCCAAATGAGCTATTATTTTCTTCGATAGTTCAGAAACAAAGCCACTAGTGAGCAGACAATGCATTGAATTTGGAACAGTTCCTTCAAGAAAAAATGATTTGAGCAAAATTAATGAAATGTTCATATAAAAAGGCACTGTGCTGGTTTTCAGATGTAATATTCCAATATAAAACCTCCCTTGAAAAAGATAGTACTCTAGATTGGGCAGCTTGGCAGTTGCAACAGTTGAGCTTCAGGTGACTATTTATTAAGATCATTTTAGAATCACTGATGATTTTTGTTTATGGCTTGATTTCTCATGTGTTGGTGAAGTTTGCTAACTCTGTGCCAGAATGCTGAATCAGGCAGTGGAGTGGTCAAGTCCAGCTCTCAGGTGATGATTCTAGATGCAATCCTATCCTGTAGATGTACTTTCCAATTATGGCACTGACAACTCACCTTCCCAGTTAAGTGAGGAAATTGATTAATGGTTAAAGCACCAGAGACCCAATGGGTAGCTGTGGGAAGAAATTGAGTAAGGAAATGGTCTTTCCTTTCCCCTGAATAAATACCACTAGAGCTATGTTTAAAAAACTTTGGGTGACTGGAAAAGTTTGCTGAAAAATGGTAAATGCTCTGTCCATCAAGTGTGATTTGTGTACAATGTAATATGTATTCAGTGTTTTTCAGCATGTCCTCATAATGTAAAATAATTGTATTATATTTTTGTACTTTAGCTCAGTGTAAATAATGTTTCTTCAACAAAAAACATATGTGACCATCAGAAATAAAAGTATTTGTAAATATATATCTTTGTCTCATGAGCAAGAAGCAGACAGAAATGAGAGAGAAATGAAATGGATGACAAAGGACAACAGAGTTGAAAATTAAAACAAAACAAGATACCAGGTGTTCTGAAACACACACAAACAGAAATTCAGAAACCTTTGAAGAAGGGTCACTGGACTTGAAATGTTAACTCTGCTTTCTCTCCACAGATGCTGCCGGATCTGCTGAGTATCTCCAGCGATATCTGAGTGCTAAGAATTAGTTTGTTTTGGATTTTCTTTTACCTAACAATACTCTAGATTTTTGAATAATGTTCTTTCAAATAAAGGTGTATGTAGGAAATTCTTAACAAAATGCTGATGATAGCAAAAATGAGAACACACAGAATTGGAGGTAACCTTGTGACGTGCATCAGTAAATGGTTACAATGTAGGCAATAGAATAGGAATAAAAGGGTTTGTTCTGATTGGTGCTATTTGACATCGGCCAGAATCAACTGCATTTATCACATTTTGAGGCTTTCAGATAATTTTTGGATCTTGATCCCTTAAGTTAATAGTGCAATGGCAAGAAAGAACTTCCATGGAGTGGACAATCAAGTACGGTGGGCAGAACAGGGACACAGGAAAGGCTGCAGTGATGTCTGTTCAACAGCCCCACAAAGAGAGGTAAGCTCTGCTCAAACGTGGGGAGACCTTGGGGATGCCTCAAAATGAATGTCCTGATTAAAGGTTCCAAAAACAGTTTTAAAAAACTATGCCCATACTTCTAAGGATCCTCAATATGAACAGAAGCCTTCAGTGGTCCAATGACCTCCCACTGAGAGTGAGCTGGCGTCAGTATGGTCACTGGGGCATTGAGGACTCCGTGAATGGCAGCTTCTCAGTATGCCTACATACCAATATGAAAGCAGATGACTGGCTAAGAAAGGTGAATTTGAATCAAAACTAAATTAAAATTTGACATTTATAAAATCCCTATCACCAATTTACCATCTGAAGACATGCAACTCATTTTATTGAGCTACCGGTCCAAACAAATTGATTGATATTGCATTGATAACTGTCACATCATTAAAAAAAAATTGTTTATGCAAGACTGAATGTTGCAGTATGTGTATTGGGCAGTTAATGTGTAAATCCAGAAAGCTCTCAACTTTTGAGAAAAAAGGCACGATGCCGTGAATATGAAGAAAACATGGTTATGTAAAACGATCAAAACATTTGCAATTTTTGGTATACATTTTAATCAAACCTATTGGCCAATTTCCACAAACACGACATGCGTCAATAACGTGCTATTGTATTTACAATGGGATTAACCCAATGTATTAGTGAATGGAACAGAAAGATTTTCTTTATGTCTTGTGCAATGTCCAAAAAGATTGACCAGGAATGTATTCAAGTAGAATTGCATCTTGTTGATAACAGTTATCCTTATTACACTTTTATATGTACTATTTTATTGAAATAATATAATTTATTTTTACTTACAGTTCAAAGTGGTTAACATTATCAACATTGCCACTATCTTTCAGTAAACAGTCTCCGAATACCAGGATAAATTGTGGAATATGAAAGCAAGGATGATATGGGAGTGACATTTAGACAGGGTGCATCATATATACAACACAGCCTTCCTTAATTAAAGGCCAGCAGAAAATTCACTTTGAAACAAAATATCTTTCTCAATCTAGACTAACATCTTCACACTGACCCAGCAGTACTATGCTGTGGGTTGGAAATTGACTGAAATCTGTTTTAAACATTTGTTTAAACATCTGTGACTCTCTTTGAACAAAATAACTGGCACCAAAGCCAATGTACTGTATGTGGCAGACATTGTTTTACTCTTTGATTTCAGTACCTCTGTAAATGGTTTCTTGAGTGCTCGGCTTTGCTGGCTTATTTTACTTTATTCTTCACAAAGCATAGTTAATGCAATTCTATATTCCCTGCCATGACACACACATCGTCCCTGACAAGATTCATTGTCCAGAACATTGAATTAGTGGCTCTCACCTGGATTTTTGCCAAATTGGGTCAGTTCATCAGCCTTTTTAAAAATAGTAGGCAAGAGCCGATTCCAGGATTGCAGTCTTTATTCCTGTTTCCATCAATCTTTGCAAGCAGAGGATAGGGGTGCTGGAAGCGTTCCTCCCGTGTGGAGTACTGCTGCCCTTGTTGGCTCAAATCCAGGGGTAAGCAGTCCAACCGTTGTGCAATTTTTGTTGTCGGGCTAGTTTGATAAGAACACAGGAGCACGACTGCACTTCAAAGGGATTGTAAATCAAAGCACAGGTAAGTGATCGTGTAACTTTTACAAATGGGGGAATCCAAAAAAAAGGTCATCAACTCTTTGAATGTTTTCATTTCAGTTTTCAAAATGCAAAAATAATTGCAGTCTCAGTTTCAACAATGAAATGCAGTATCATAAGTTAGATGTGTTTTTATTCCATTAATTGATTATAGGGCCATTGTCTTGAAAGGTAAGAGTAACATTACATTTAACAGCATTATGCAAGTGTTGGGATGCTTTAGAATACTTTCTACCCTGGGAGTATGCTATTATGTATTCAAAACTTAAGAAAACACTGCTTGGCAATTGTTAAGTCTCAAGAGCTGAAGTGATTTAAGTCCCTGACCATCTAAAACTGAGAAGACGAATGATACGCAACTTTCATTCAGAGAAAAGAAAATCTAGTCTAATCAGAAAAATGTTAAATAAATAGACACCTATTCTTGCAATTTCTATAGGTTTCGATTTCTGTGACCTGAAATATTTTGTTATTACAGCTGAGCCCATTCTGAATACTTCACTGAGTTTCATAAGTTACATGACCACCTACCTGTGGGGGGCTGTGTAGATGCTTTGATTATCAGTTCTAAGAGGTTATTTAACATTTACCAATCTTTGTGGTTAATAAATAGATGTTTGTTGTTGCAACAGATTGACAATTTAATGGGATTTACATATTTGGATTATTTTTTGAATGGATACTTTAAATAAGAAGTGTTTAAATGACAGCTCTGTTGGATTGTTAGTTTATGTTTAATGTTAATTTCAAAGACATAACTTTAAGATTTCCCTGTTGCAGGTAGTAGATAAGTGACTATAGAAGAAGAGAGCATGGCAAGTATGGAGTGTAGAAGTGATGTGGATGGTTTGAGGGGGCATGTGGCCATGAATAGATGGACAGGGGTGATTGTTGTGGGGCCTGATGTTCATCATTAAAACTGGGTCAATGGTCCGTTAAATGGAACAAAAACAGGATGTTGGAGAAACATAGTGGATCTGGCAGCATCTGTAGAGAGTCCAGCGACTCTTCGTCAGAACATTTCAGATTTCCAGCATCTGCAGTTCTTTGTGTTTTTTTTCCAAGTAAATAGCGGTGAGTATTCTAGCCTGTTGAATTTTCAGTCTATCTACTCCCATTGCCACCTTGGGACTGACGCAATCCCAAACCTGTCTTCCGAGAATGGAAATGTAACGGGTGGGAGCCTTTTTACAGGAGATAGGACTACTATGTAGGGAAGTTTCCCAACTAGGTCTTCCAGCCTCCTCCATGAAAATCCAGTTCCTCTTTTTGGTTTTAATCCCTGTTGTGATGCCACACCATCCAATGCGGCAGGTTTCCTGCCATTTATTCTTATTGCACTATCTGTCACTAGCCACAAGTTACTGCTCTTTTCTGACTTGGTCTACTCCATCATGAATGGGCATCATATTCTTGTGAAAACCTCCTTCTGAAAATATTTTGCTTTGCTACCCTTCTCCCATCCTTAAAATTGATAATTAAACCAGTATTTTCAGTTGGGGTTTGAACTTGCCTTTTTAATCCATCATGCTTGAGCTTGGTGTTTGCCTTTAAGTAATTAATTGGGGATTCTATGAAAATGCTAAGATTCTGCTGATTCAAACTTCAAAGGTGTACTAGACTGACAAGTTAAATAAACATTATTAAAAGTGTTAACAGACACATTGGTGGTGATGTTTTTGGTCATGTTTGGACTTAAGGTTAAACATTTAAATATTAAAATTTGACTTGCTACATGCTGCTGACAGGACGACAGCACCGAGACTCAAAATGGCAGCTTTGGGCCTTGTCCAGGACCGCACCACGTGCAGGGTTGGTTGGACCTGGTGGAGTGTGGTGGGAATGTGAAGGTGGACGGTTGGAGAGTGGAGAAGAGGGTTGGGGAGGAGAGGGGATATTGTGTGGTTATGGGGATGGGAGAGGGAGGAGAGAGTGGGGAGAGGGGAGAGCGGTGTGGGGAGTAGTGGGAGGGGAGTGTGGGGGTAGAGGGGGAGGGGAGTGTGGGGTAGAGGGAGAGGGGCATTGGTGGGGAAGCAGAG